GTTATGCACACAGTTAGTATATTCACGTGTCTGTAAAACCTTATAGTGCTTATCATCATAAATATTTTTTACTGTTTGTATTAAACTGTATTGGTGGTAATTAGTTCAATTATTTTGCTCTTAACCAGGGCCCCGTCTTTTGTTTTATACTTCGTGTATTTTTCATTATTCTAAAATAGTTGTAGATATACACGTGTGACAAGACATCGTTAACTTTCACGATATGACTATAAATATACCATATTATATGAACTAGAAATATCGGATTTCAGCGTGTCTCATGGAAGCCATGGGTTTTTCTCAAGTACTTGATTTCATATAGCACTGGGTGAAAGTATGAAAATGAAGATCACAAGATCACTGATTGCCAAAATAAGTGATTTTTAATTTCCTCATGACTTTAGTAAAACATGATTACTTCATATCAATGAATGTGAAATGGATCTTTTCCCATGTTGTTTCGAAGAAAAAAGTTTTATTACAGATTCAATTTTAGCATATACATTTTCAACGTATCAATGATAATATCAAGAACAATCGAAAATGAGATATCAGACTTAAAATGAATGTAACAACATAGTAAATGAATGAAGGAGAATTGGGTTTACCGACGCATTCACGTCGTGAGTGTGTCACCTCGTACAAATATTTAGGTTTATCTTTTACTTTATCATAGGATAAACATGTTAAGGATGCTGCACTACATGCTAAGAAAGTATTACGTGGCATACTGAAATCTCTGTCCAATCATAAGCCCATACCCTTTTATTTAAAAAAAAAATTATTTGATACCAAAACTAGCCCAATTTTGCTATATGGAGCAGAAATATGGGGTCTGAGTCCTGAAATTTGTAATGATATTGAAAGTATCCACATGATGGCTTGTAAGCGCTCTTTAGGTGTTAAGGTCTCCACCTCAAATCACGTTATAAGAGGTGAATGTGGCCCATATCCTCTATACATTTATGCTTATAAAAGAGTTGTTAAATATTGGTGCATACAGATATGTAAAGAAATGCTATAATATGCAACTGCAAGCTGTAGGTAATGGTAAAGTAAACTGGGTTTCCAAAAATAGACGCATTATTGTTTCAACAGGATTTGGTTTTATATGGGATCAACAGTGTGTTGCAAATATACCTCTGTTTATAAAGGATTTTTTTGTGAGACTAAAATTTTCGTACCAGCAAGACTGGCATTCAGCTATACATGAAAGTTCGAAATCATATTATTATTCTTTGTATAAGCAAACATTTGGTGTTGAAATGTATGTTACAAGGCTATCATGTGATAAATTTAGAAGTATTATAGCTCGTTTCAGATGTAGTTCTCATCATCTAAGAATTGAATCAGGTAGACATAATAAGGAACCCAGAGAAGAAAGAGTTTGTACTGTTTGTAAACATGATTATATCGAAGATGAGTATCACTTTATTTTAATTTGTGATTATTATCAAGTTTTGAGGTCAGAATATATATCCTTGAATTATTATGAGTTCCCGATAAGACGTAAGTACAATATTTTAATGTCATCCACCAACCCATTTACTGTTAAGAAACTAGCCATGTATTTTCTAAAAGCTATGAATCTAAGCTATGGGATCTCCAAGTCCCATCACCACACTGTAACCATTGTATCATGGGCCTATGGCCTACAATACATCTGAATAAAGTGTATATGTAACACCTTGATAAATTAATGTACTGGAAGAGAAACAAGAGAGATTTGTGCAGCGATCTGCCCCGGTACACGGTCACGGTTGTGACAATGCAGCTCCGAACTGCTGAATACTGCTAATGAGGAAACTCCTGTTGTTCGACTGGCCAGCAGTGGTCAGTGTCTTTGAAGCCGCAGGGATCGATACATGGCTGACAGCCCATCTGACAGAGTGGACAGGGGTTGATCAGGCCACTGGCCATCAAAGGTGGTGTCCAGTTTCAAGCTACTTAAACATACTTTCATGTTTCACTTTTGCTTCTTTGATGCACGTTGGGAATAGCTGAAGCACTAAGTACGACAGAGCAGCGGCATGTCCCTCGCTAACTTGACTTTTTACCAGTCCTTGTGCGCATGCCTCTATTCAGTTCCTGATTAGAGTTCCCTGGTTTGGATGAGATGGAATTGGTCGAGAGCCCTTCGTATACCAGTCGCCAATGTGCCTCATTTAGTAACAGATAAAATAACTCAATTGTAAATATTAACTTTGTTAGAACATGAATATTAACGGTATCCTTAATGAAGCTTTGAATCTTCTCCATCTAAATGGAGGTGGCCGACAAGCTACATCTCAAGTAATATTTCCTTGAATGCCTGAAGACACGAGTGTCATGTGACATGTTTGTTGAACAAAAGTTATGTATGTGGTGTCGACAAAATACACCACGAATAGTCTAAATGCGTTGTAGACCCTTTCAAAAGAAATATGAATTGTCAATAGAAGAGAATAACCAGTCTAGATTATCATCCGAAACAGATTACATTTGGCGTAAAGGGCCATTCACACAATTTGCACTGTAAAGTAAGTATGTCTTGCCTGACGCCGTATAGCAGTACTCATGTCGTGCAACGGCGGCCTGTAAACAAACCAGACAATCTTGTGATCTCATATTACAGTTCCAACTTAGATGTAATCCATTGAACGTTTGGTCTACTCTCACCCCGTTCACTCAATGTCAACCGTTGACTAAACAAAACAAGACACCTACACACTACCAACAGACAAATAGTAAGGGTAGATGATGAAATTGTTAACATATAGGAATCGTTTAAAAAAGATACACGACAGACTTCATCTCACTGGCCATGCTGTTTGTGCCAAACCCATGACAACAGGCAGATTAGACATAAACAAAGTAGTGATAATCAACTCAAGTGGATATTTCTACCGGATCTGAGGAAGGGATGATCACCCCGAACATACGACTTGACATGGATGTGTATAGTATAGGTGGACTAGTCCAGTTGGGTCTTTGAAGACGGCTGCTCTGACCAGCAAGTGACACCCCAGTGGGCCAGGCATGTCAGGGGAGGGGTCAGTGATATATCACACTCACACAACATATCATTGGAGCCGCACGCCCTGACCTCAGTGCACAGCTAGTTACGAATATTTATGCGTGTTGAAGAAATAGGGACATATCCTTAACATGGATCCAGCAAGTAACTGAAGTTACCGGGTGTACCGCCACACACCCCGCCCGTACCGTGTCGGTGACGCTGGCAACGCATGGGATCACAGAGGCACATGTTAATATGCAAGAGCGGCGTGGTATTCCGACACTGTCGTAATGACATGCTACAGATACTCGCACAGCATCCGGCTGGTTGTACACTTTACTACATGTGAGATGGAACGTTGATGAGTTGTTGATGGGATTTTCTTCTGCTGACACAGAAACATGCACGAACTTACGAAGTGAAGAATAGAACACCAGTTCAAGACATTGTATGTTGTCGAAACATGTCACACATTAACAACATACAGTCAACCCTCGAAACCATTACCTCTCAAGCTACTGATTCACTAATGTATCGTGGTGGGGTGGGGGATGTGATCGTCAGGATGCTTGATGTCCCATCCCAACCGTGACTCTCAAAGTAGTGATTTAAAAGAAAACTATAACAAATAATCATTGGAAATCTGTACTTGTTGTTTTAGTTAGTTATGACGGTTACACTTTTCAATTTTGACAGTTAGATTATTATTGTCTACAAATTCTAGCTTTTGTTTAATTAATCTACTTAAAAAGAACAATTATTATGCGCAAAGACAGAGCCAATAATGCTGCAAGGTAATTACTATAAGAACTGTAATATACGTCTATGGAAGCATTATACAATTTCTAAAAACCCTCTGGGCCAAAAACTACAACTTACGTTGATTTCTGCAACTGATTTGGAACGAGTTAGAGCGAGAAGAATGCGATTAAACACAAAATATAAGATGTGACAGTAATTTAGATGGATGTTATCTACCCAAAGACATGTCCAGGAAGGTGTTTACGTAATAATTTTGGAATAAGTATTTTTACTTTACTGGATTTAAAGCATGAAACAATCTCTAAATGAACTACACAACCTTATTAAGCACCAGCAGATCGCGGGACTTCTTGAGCTAACTATAACTGTAAAATACACAAGACATGTATGTAATAATAAATATTCTTATCTAACACAGCTACAACAAAATCAAAACGATTTCGGGTACGTGGGCGAAAACCGATGGTCTCGATTGTTTACGACCGAGCCTGACAATTACAAGTACCCACACCCAAGTCGTACTGTGAAATATATATGATATGCACAAATTGAAGAAACGTGAAACACTCATAGTTGGTAAACATTTTTTTTATTCTTATACACATTATTAGAAAAATATCTCAGTAGCTAATGATTATTTTTGTCACGGTGATAGGCTTGCTCAGATATATAACTGTACACACAATTGAGAGAACCAAGGGATGACAAGTGGTACTGCGCTGGGAACATACATGTCACAACAGCGGCTTATAGATGTCACGTACACCGCGTTCAGACAGACAGGGGTCTGTCCTCCGTGACGGCAATATATATCTGACAAGGAAACAAGACGATTTTACAACCTTCCTTGACAAAATACCTGGGGAACTTGCCTCTGTTATGGAAGACAGGAATTCACATCTAGTCTGATGGTGGAACAACAAGGATACACTGAGAGGCCTTCTTTATTCCAGAATTTGCTTCACCGATTGAGATACTGACTACTATTTTATTTTTAATTTCTGCATGGGAAAAAACACACATCGTAACTTTAACTTCTGTGGGGAGGTGCTTTGGACAGGAAAGGAAGATGTTGGGTGAAGGGAGGTGCTGGGGTGAAGGGGGGTTCTGGGCTAAAGGGAGGTGTTGGGGTGAAGGGAGGCGTTGGGTGAAGGGAGGTTCTAGGCTGAAGGGCTGATGGTGGAACACCGAGGATAAACCGAGGATACATTGAGAGGCCCTCTTTATTCCAAAAATTGCTTCACCGATTGAGATACTGACTACTATTTGAAGGGAGGTGCTGGAGTGAAGGGAGGTTCTGTGGTGAAGGGGAAGTGGGGTGAAAGGAGGTTCTGGGCTGAAGGGAGGTGCTGGGTGAAGGGAGGTGCTGCAGAGAAGGGAGGTGTTGGGGAGAAGGGAGGTTCTGGGCTGAAGGGAGGTGCTGGGTGAAGGGAGGTGTTGGGGAGAAGGGAGGTGCTGGGTGAAGGGAGGTGCTGCAGAGAAGGGAGGTGTTGGGGAGAAGGGAGGTTCTGGGCTGAAGGGAGGTGTTTGGGTGAAGGGAGGTGCTGGGCTGACGGGAGGTGTTTGGGTGAAGGGAGGTGTTTGGGTGAAGGGAGGTGTTTGGGTGAAGGGAGGTGCTGGGCTGACGGGAGGTGTTTGGGTGAAGGGAGGTGTTTGGGTGAAGGGAGGTGTTTGGGTGAAGGGAGGTGTTTGGGTGAAGGGAGGTGTTGGGCTGAAGGGAGATGCTGGGCTGAAGGGAGGTGTTGGGGAGAAGGGAGGTTCTGGGCTGAAGGGAGTTGTTGGGTGAAGGGGGGTGCTGGGTGAAGGGGGGTGCTGGGGGGAAGGGAGGTTTGGGGGTGAAGGGAGACGTTTTGGTGAAGGGAGGTTCATGGCTGAAGGGAGGTGTTGGGGAGAAGGGAGGTGCTGGGCTGAAGGGAGATGTTGGGGAGAAGGGAGGTGTTAGGCTGAAGGGGGGTGTTGGGGAGAAGGGAGATGCTGGGCTGAAGGGAGGTGTTTGGGTGAAGGGAGGTTCATGGCTGAATGGAGGTGTTTGCTTGAAGGGAGATGCTGGGCTGAAGGGAGGTGTTTGGGTGAAGGGGGGTGCTGGGGGGAAGGGGGGAAGGGAGGTGTTGGGGAGAAGGGAGGTGCAGGGGAGAAGAGAGTTGTTGGGGAGAAGGGAGGTGCTGGGCTGAAGGGAGGTGTTAGGGTGAAAGGGGGGGCGGGGGGGTACTGGGGGGAAGGGGGGGAGGGAGGTGTTGGGGAGAAGGGAGGTGCTGGGTGAAGGGAGGTGCTGGCGTGAAGAGGCGTGTTGGGGGGAAGGGAGGTGCTGGCGTGAAGGGGCGTGTTGGGTGGAAGGGAGGTGCTGGCGTGAAGGGGCGTTTACGGAGGAAGGGATGTCCTGGCGTGAAGGGGCGTGTTGGTAGGAAGGGAGGTGCTGGCGTGAAGGGGCGTGTTAGGGGGAAGGGAGGTGCTGGCGTGAAGGGGCGTGTTGGGAGGAAGGGAGGTGCTGGCGTGAAGGAGGTTTGAGGTGAAGGGAGGTGTTGAGGTGAAGGGAGGTTCTGGGCTGAAGGGAGGTTCTGGGCTGAAGGGACGTGTTGGGGAGAAGGGAGGTGCTTCGGCGAAGGGAGGTGTTGGGGAGAAGGGAGGTGTTGGGGAGAAGGGAGGTGCTTCGGTGAAGGGAGATGTTGGGGAGAAGGGAGGTGGTGGGGTTAAGGGGCGTGTTGGGGGAAAGGCAGGTGCTTGGAGGAAGGGAGGTGGTGGGGTGAAGGGGCTTGTTGGGTGGAAGGGAGGTGCTGGCGTGAAGGGGCGTGTTGGGAGGAAGGGAGGTACTGGCGTGAAGGGGCGTGTTGGGGGGAAGGGAGATGCTGCCGTGAAGGGGCGTGTTGGGAGGAAGGGAGGTGCTGGCGTGAAGGGGGTGTGGGGTGAAGGAGGTGCTGGCGTGAAGGGGCGTGTTGGGGGGAAGGGAGGTGCTGGCGTGAAGGGAGGTGTTGGGTGAAGGGAGGTGTTGAGGTGAAGGGAGGTTCTGGGCTGAAGGGACGTGTTGGGGAGAAGGGAGGTGCTTCGGCGAAGGGAGGTGTTGGGGAGAAGGGAGGTGTTCGTGTGAAGGGAGGTTCTGGTCTGAAGGGAGGTGTTGGGGAGAAGGGAGGTGCTTCGGTTAAGGGAGGTGTTGGGGAGAAGGGAGGTGGTGGGGTGAAGGGGCGTGTTGGGGGAAAGGGAGGTGCTGGGAGGAAGGGAGGTGCTGGGGTGAAGGGGCGTGTTGGGGGGAAGGGAGGTGCTGGGAGGAAGGGAGGTGGTTGGGTGAAGGGGCGTGTGTTGGGGGGGGGGGGGGAGGGAGATGGTGGCGTGAAGGGGCGTGTTGGGAGGAAGGGAGGTGCTGGTGTGAAGGGGGTGTGGGGTGAAGGGAGGTGTTGAGGTGAAGGGAGGTGTTGAGTGAAGGGAGGTATTGGGTGAAGGGGATGTTGGGTGAAGGTTAGGTGGAGGTGGGGTGAAGGGAGGTCTTAGGTGAAAGGAGGTGTGGGGTGAAGGGAGGTGTTGCGGTGAAGTGAGGTGTGGGGAGAAGGGAGATATGGGGTGAAGGGAGGTGTGGGGTGAAAGGAGGTGTGGGGTGAAGGGAGGTGTTGCGGTGAAGGGAGGTGAGGGGAGGAGGGAGGTGTGGGGTGAAGGGAGGTGTGGGGTGAAGGGAGGTGTTGCGGTGAAGGGAGGTGTTGGGGTGAAGGTGCTTTGGGGTGAAGGGGGTGTTGGGTGAAGGGAGGTGTTGGTTGAATGGAGGTGTTGGGGAGAAAGGAGGTGTTGGGTGAAGTGAGGTGTTGGGGTGAAGGGAGGTGGTCGGTGAAGGGAGGTGGTGGGTGAAGGGGGGTGTTGGGGTGAAGGGGGTGTGGGGTGAAGGGGGTGTGGGGTTAAGGGAGGTGTTGGGTGAATGGAGGTGTTGGGGAGAAGGGAGGTGTTGGGGAGAAGCGAGGTGTTTTGTGAATGGAGGTGTTGGGGAGAAGGGACGTGTTGGGGAGAAGGGAGATGGTTGGTGAAAGGAGGTGTTTGGGAGAAGGGTGGTTTTTGGGAGAAGGGAGGTGGTTGGTGAAAGGAGGTGGTGGGTGAAGGGGGTGTGGGGTGAAGGGAGTGTAGGGTGAAGGGGTTGTGGGGTGAAGGTTGGGTGGAGGTGGGGTGAAGGGAGGTGCTGCGGTGAAGGGAGGTGTTGGGGTGAAGGGGCTTTGGTGTGAAGGGGGTGTGGGGTGACGGGAGGTGTTGGGTGAATGGAGGTGTTGGGGAGAAGGGAGGTGTTGGGTGAAGTGAGGTGCTGGGGTGAAGGGAGGTGGTTGGTGAAGGGAGGTGGTGGGTGAAGGGGGTGTGGGGTGAAGGGGGTTTGGGGTGAAGGTTGGGTGGAGGTGGGGTGAAGGGAGGTGCTTGGGGAGAAGGGAGGTGTTTGGGTTAAGGGGGTGTGGGGTGAAGGGGATGTGGGGGGAAGGGAGGTGTGGGGTGAAGGGGGTGTTGGGTGAAGGGGGTGTTGGGTGAAGGGGTGTGGGGTGAAGGGTGTGTGGGGTGAAGGGGGGTGTTGGGGAGAAGGGAGGTGCTGGGGAGAAGGTAGTTGTTGGGTGAAGGGGGTGTCGGGTGAAGGAGGTGTGGGGTGAAGGTTAGATGGAGGTGGGGGCAAGGGAGGTGCTGCGGTGAAGGGAGGTGTGGGGTGAAGGGAGGTGTTTGGGTGAAGGGAGGTTCTGGGGTGAAGGAAGGTGTTGTGTGAAGTTGGTTTGGGGTGAAGGGGAGATGGGGTGAAGGGCTGTGTTGGGGTGATGCTGGGCGTGAAGGTTGGGTGAAGGGAGAGCCTGGAATGAAGGGGTGTGCTGGGGTGGAGGGAGTTTCTGGGTTGGGGGATGGGGGATGTGAAGGTGGGTTGAAGTGTTGTGTTGGGGCGAATGGTGAAATGTATTTAAGGTGGTAACTAAAATATCGACCAATCCGAGTTCTGCTTTCCAACACGACCCCAATCTGTGCGGATCTGATGTCTGTCATTTCTCCCCAGAGGGTTTAAAAGTGGCGAGTCGACCGCTATCGGTCGATATTATGTAATAACAATAAAGAAATGGGAGGTATCGTGTATGGGGGTCGATAGAATAATCACCCAAGACAAGGTAGGTATCACGTTTTAGATTTAACATTAGAATAGAATACGAGTGGTGCTGTACGGAATGTTCGGCCTTGTGTATTTCTGACACTCGTGACATTAACTGTTCTAGAAATATTTAAGCAACGACACAAGACCCTGTGGTCCAATGTGCTATTAAAACTGTTACTTGATTTAAGCATATTTTATTCAGATTGAAATGTATTGGGAACAAGTTATCCAACTTAGGACTCCCTCTCCATGGTATTTACAAAGCTTGTACAGTAAATCATATACAAGAAAAACAGAAAAGAAGATGAGTGTAAAGATAACAAGAAATGTACAAAAGAGAGAGACTAGTATATGTACATTAAAGTGTTACCCAAATCTCTTTGTATGACTTATAAACATTTGCACTGCTTTAAAGATGTGTTGATTTTCGATAATGGACAAACATTCATTTCCGTTTAACATCAAATTTAAATCTAATTTAGCATTTTTGTTCACGGCGTTCTGTAAAATGTCCCGAATTATTATTAACATAGTTTTTCTTTGGTGGACGTACAATGGACACTTTAATAAATAATGATATGCGTTTTCACATGGATCACCACATTGACATATTGGATCACATTTTACCTCTATTCTGTATAAATCATAATTTAACTGGCTTTTCATGTATCTTAATCGAGTATGATAAATATTCAACATTAGAATAGAATACGAGTGGTGCTGTACGGAATGTTCGGCCTTGTGTATTTCTGACACTCGTGACATTAACTGTTCTAGAAATATTTAAGCAACGACACAAGACCCTGTGGTCCAATGTGCTATTAAAACTATTACTTCCTACATATAATAGCCAGTACTGTAGTTTATCGCGGGTGTATTGAGGGACGCGACAGTTTGCCAAGGTGACAGCTTGGAGGAGTTCACTGTTGCTGGCGTCGTGTAGCAACAGAATGTTGCTGCTCTCGTGGGGTGTGGGGAAAAAGAATCTATTAAGGTGTCCTTCACATTCTTTATACAGAAGAATTTTATTCAGATGTACACATTTCTGATACTATTTAAGTAAATACGCTATTCCCCTTTCCCAAAATATTTGAGTGATGTTCCTAATTAAAAAGCATGCCATTATTTTCAAACAGTGTACCCCCAATGCGAATCAGTGAAATTGGAAGCGTTCGTTATTTCGATGTGAGCTCAGATACATGCTCTGCTTGATGTGGGCTCAGATACATGCACTGCTTGATGTGGGCTCAGATACATGCACTGCTTGATGTGGGCTCAGATACATGCACTGCTTGATGTGGGCTCGGATACATGCACTGCTTGATGTGGGCTCAGATACATGCACTGCTTGATGTGGGCTCAGATACATGCACTGCTACAACAACTACACTACTACTATGGAGAAAACAGCGTGGATGTTCTGCGGCCCCGGGGGACGGGATGTTTGCATCTCACGCCTCTCCCCTCGACTACCCCAGGGTGGTCCGGCTTCACAATAGCAAACTCCTTGTAGTCAAAGACTTGGTCAGGCGGCTTAAATGATTAAAATCGAAAGATAACAGTTTTCTGTAAACGATAGTCTAGAAAAGTCGTGTCACAAAATACACGCGCAAAGCGTGAATTATACACATTCAGCTAACTGTTCGTCCGTGGGATTGTGAATGGTTGATTGGAGATTTCTTTGTAGATGCTAAATGATTGGTTGAGACAAGTGTGAGAACTGAAGCAGCCTACAGTGGGGCTCCTGTAGAGAGAGAGAGTGAGAGAGAGAGAGAGAGAGAGAGAGAGAGAGAGAGAGAGAGATATATATATATATATACACACACACACACACACACACACACGCACGCACGCACGCGCACTATCGTGTGTATCGGTATATGTCAGTACATTGTTTTACTATTAGAAATTTAAGTAAGTTTCTGAGATCCATTGTGTCTTAGATTTTCTCTATACATCATACCGTAAAGTGTCACACAGTGTAGACAGCAAGTCATGATAATACATGTCAACATCCAGCTGATTCTTGCATGAACATATTCCATGCCAACACTCTGCAAGATGAGTCAAAACCATCCAAAAGCGTATCTCCGACGCCTATGTTGTGTGTCTGTGTTTGGTGCATCTAATGTGAGATCTTATTATGGATACTTTCCACGCATACAAAACACCACACTGTTTAACATTGGTATTCCAACATTATGAACTAAACTGTGTAACTGTATTTTCTTTTTTCGCCAAATGTTTATACCCTCTCAATTTCCACTCATTCACACGGATTAGCTAGATTTGAGCACCAACAAGCTTAAACAAATACTGTGGAGTTATCGGTGAAACAGACTAAAGAAACAGTTTAGATGGAAGATTGCTGTTTTGGAGGGAGAGGGGGAGAGGAATACAGATGCTTCCGTATAGTTTTGCTGTCAATATAGCGACCTCAATATAAAACATAACTGCCTAGAGAAACAGTTTCTGCGACTATGTGTACTTACCCTGGACGACACATTACCTCCACAACATGTATATATCGAGATAGCACCTGTACATATGCATGTCGGAACGTTGTCGGGGGAACCTCGCTGTCTCCTTCACGGTAGCCTCTACATTGCACACTTTAATAATTTCCCATGTGCAACTGGTACATCAAAATTTAGCAGACGTTCTTTAAAATATATTTTCTACCATGGCTTTTAAATATGTAAATCTTTAATAATTATTCCGAGTGGGAAACTGATCACCTTAGTATCATGCATACTATTTATTTAAACAGTTTATCTTAAAAATATATTTATATTGAAAACGATAACATGACTGTGATACTGGTGGTTACAAATGAAATGATGCAAATAATTAAATGTGAATCAAGAGTATAGCTGTGATGCATCTTACTAAAATGAATCACGAGAAGTGTGGATGTCCAGATTTTACGAATGCTGCGAACAGTTTGTAAATGTTATGCGATTGGGTCATTTTCGACACCACTTGTCATTCATTAAAACAACCACTTCGGAACAGCGAGTTTGCTCCAAGTCTCTATGAACTAACACAATAACTGTATAAAAACAGTTATAAACAGTCCATGTTGACTTGTTTATTTACCCTTATTTATAAAGACTGGCGAAGCACGTGCTTTTCAATTTTTGAAAATATGTGTAACAGACGTCACCGAGTAGCCTCCCTTTAACGATGTATACTGTGTACAGTCTCATAGCGTCCGTTTTAAAACACCAGTCTGTCGCAAGCGTATACGTATTTCCTTTGTAAATGTGGTACATTATGTACATGTTCGTTTAACTATATCATTAAACTGGTTCCCCTGTTAAAGGAAAACAACACTCCAACTTTGAAGGTATTGAAATATGAATCGTCATTTTCTTCGCGGATTCAAAATTTGCTTATTATGGACTATAATTTCGACTGGTTTGACTTGTGTTCGGCGCAATTCTCGCTGCGCTGCGCGAAGCGACCCCTATAAGAGGATCGAAGAATGAGAAAGGATATCTCGGCTTGGACACTCGCCCCGCGCAGACGTGTCCTTCCTTGCTCGCAAACCCAAGCTCTTACCATGAGAGATATCGCTCTATCTCTTCCGAGGGAGTTAGTTGCCATCCTGGAGCCCTTGCTGGCTTTCAGGGTTGGGGACTACTCCCTCCGGACTTCGTATAAGTCCAACTCCTCTACCCTCCCATCACCACCACCCAGCAAGACCACGGAAACCCAGACCGCCACACGACCAGGCCCGTCCCTCAACTCCAGCCAAGTCCAGACTGACCCAGTCCCGGATCAAGAAGTTGAGGTAGACGACTGGGTCCACCTTGCAGAACAGGCAGACCTCATACTGGAGCAGCACAAGGTACACCCTAACCCCTGCTACCAGCATGAGAACGGAAGGATATACCCCAGCAACCGCCCACGCCCACCCTTGGTGCTGGTGCAGTACTGGGGTGAGGAGCGTTTTGAACACGAGAATCACAGCTTCCAGGACCTCCCGGACTACCTGGTCGACTGTGAGCACCCATTCAGCCCGCTCTTCATCACCAACGCCGCCGCCCGCCTCACCACCGCACTGTTCCAAGTTCTTCCTCCTGGAGAGCTCGACCTAGCCAGGAGGCTCCTGGCTGGGCAGAAACAGTAACTTCCTCGCCACCCCAGCTCGCCAGCCGACGCCGTGCCTTCCCACGCTTGACACCCCCCCCCTCCCCCCCCCCCCCCCCCCCCCGCCAAACTTTTCCACTTTATTATTACCTTTTTTACAAACCCCTCCCCCACCCAGCCAAACCCATCCCTCTAGTTTAACTTTTTTTCCTATTTAGTATAAGTGCTTCCCCGTGTGCGAGATACGCTATAGTTTAATTTATTACATGCGGAGAGCGCACGTTAAATCTCCGAATATCCAATCCAATCCAGAAAGGATATACAATAAAGTGAGTAAGGTTTTACGCCGCTGTTAGTAATATTCCAGCAATATCACGGCGGGGGCACCAGAAATGGTCTTCACACATTGTACCCATGTCGGGAATCGAACCCGGGTCTTCGGAATGGCGAGCGAAAGCGTAAACCACTAGGCTACCCGACCGCCCCTTATATACAATAAAGAGCTGCAGTCAAACTGGCATGTGCTGTTGTTGTTGAGTAATGCATACACGACTTGAAAGGGAGATGGTATGGGTAAACATCATATTATGCACAGTAACAAAACCAACATACTATCCCTTCAGAGAATTCAGGTAAACGAACAGGTGATAACAAACTTGGTCAATACAAAAAATATACTTTGAGGTAAATTATCACAAGACATGATGACTTAACCATTTAAGTTGTATTTCTGTTCTGATAGGCACGTACCTGTTTCACCTGACAGACAGACAGATATTTTATAAAGTCTCATCTCAACATTTGATACATACAATTATACACATACAATCTTAAAGATAAGTTGAGCCATTTCATGCGGAATTACGATAGACTATTATGCATACTACAAAACAAACTATGAACTAAGGGAATTAGATAAAACCATAAACAATTACAATATGATATATATTACGTAGTAATATACAAATTGTCAGCACGTTTTTTTCAAGACATTATAGCAGGTTTTGGCAGTTAAAAAATACAATTCAGAGTATTATAGTATTAAACTAACCTTATCTTTATCGTTATATATTAGGACACAAAACCTTCTTCAAAT